ACTCGCATTTTCTTTAAAAAAATTCAATTATTTCATTAACATTTATTATTTTTACAATACAAATTTCTCAATATAATTTTCATCATTTTATTAGGAAATTTTATATGGAATATGACATAAAATGTTTTCGAAATTTTATATCCAAAAAAGTCATATCCCATGTAAATTCTCGAATGTAAAATTACATGAAGTATATTTTTTGGACGTAAATTTTCTGTTGTAAAATTTTTCTCAACTTTTTTGTAAGTTCGATTGTGTCCCCCTAACTTTTAAGGTTTGCATCCACCCCTGGCCATAGATTCCACTAGTTTTTCTCTATGCTCGCTTGTTTTGGGCGGTTTTTGCTTATAGTACATTACTTGGACATTCTTGATATATTTTCATTATTAATTTCATGTTGTGTCAACCTAGTTGGGATATACCGGTGGACGGTGCACCTGTTGAACTCGTTTTTCAACTATTTTTAGTAAAATAAATAAATAAATAAAAATAAAATCAATAACAAAGGAAAATAAGCAAAAATGGATACTCTTGCTTCTAACTAGAAGTCCAATGTTTAGGCTCAGAGCCAAGTGCAAGTTACAAAATATACTGTTAAACATTGGAGTTTCCCATGTCAAAAATGAAAGAGGTTCAATCAATTTTTGAACGGTAGTGACTAAGTTTGAACTGCAACTCATCAAGAAAATCTACCTTTAATTCACTTGAATAAAAGAATAATTGCTAAAAATTTTTAAAAAGGTTCAAATTTCAGCCGTGTCAACGGGAATATCCTTCACCTCTCAGCTGTAATCATGTCACAATGCTGCCATCATAGTAGACCTTGCAGCCTCCCTCTTCATCTCTGCAGCTTTTCCACTCCCTCTAAAATACATGTACACTTGCTGCATTTCATATAGCCATCGAGTAAAGTTTAGTTACAATATGACCAACACAAAAGTCGACTAGTGTCTAGTGACCAAGGCAAGTTACACTGAACCTGTAAGACCCATATACTAATCAAGGACTCAAGGCAGAAGAATCCGAATCCAACAAGATAGAATATCTGCAAATACGAACATGTATCAAAGTTTAGACTATTTCCAGGCTTAACAAGCCTTGATGATAATAAAAAGCACATCCAGAAAATAATAAACGATAATCATGTTTCAAATCACAGTAATGTGTCCTGCTTCAAATCAAAGCTCTCTTACAATCGTGTTCTAAGTCAAAAAGAAGTGTGACTGAACATGTCAACATGAATACCCTTGAAAGAGATGATCAATGACTTGAGCAAAGTAACTTTTTAATCTGCGTCATTGATCGAAGTAACTTTTTAATCTGCAATGTGACCTTTTTAAAATTAAAGAACAAGTAAACACTTTCCGCAGCTTGACATATTCAACAATGCCATCTGGAAACAACATAAAGTTTTTACAGCCTTACCCCAACCATAGCATTTCCACTTAAAACGTCAATAGCGGGCAAGATTCCACTGTCAAGTGAAAATAATAGGATGAGCATCATTATAATTAAAAAAAGGGCCAAAAGCAAAAGATTTGAACGTGATTCTTCTTTTATTCCTTATTTTGCTATTTTCATGCTTAATGTGTAGGACGCAAATGAGCCTAGCTGAGCAAATACTTGGCAAATATCAGGCTCAAGCTAAATTGACGGTAACCAGTTGAGCTTCAAAATCATAAGAATTGAATCAAGTTGTTTGCACCCCTATTAATCGGGAATTGTTTTTCTCATACTCATTTTGGATTCTCTCTCTTTTCGCCGTGTGAAGGGTGTTTGTTGGGGGAGGTTAATATCTGGTCACAAAACTTCACTACGCTAAAAGCCCCTTCCTTCTAAGCTAATTATGATAGAGAAAACTTACGTCAAAGATTTCCCTTTAAAAATGATTGGAGGAGCAACACAAGCGAAGATGCAGAAGCCAATGTGAAACTGTATGAATTAAGCAAAAACACAAAAGTCAGGATGTCAAAACCAATAAAGGATGACAAAATTATCATTCGAAGAATTAATTATGTACTTACCAGGTAACAAAAGAAGAACCATCCAAACTTCAAAGCACTATCAGTCCTGCAAAGAGAATAAACAATAAATTAGTGGATAATGATTTTTAAGTGAATAAACATTATGAATACACATCGACAGATAGAAGAATAAATGGAACAAAACTACAAGCAAACTTCAGTTAAGCCTTTTCTTAGCCAGAGAAAAAAAAAAGGGAAATGAAAAATTTCAACAAAAACTTACAATTTGAACAAAAGAACTTACATTTACGTCATAATATCTTGTGATTATTAGAAAATAAAAGTACGAGACAAGATCCAACCCAAAAATTGACTAAATAGAACCCCATAACCTAGAAAAACATTAAAGCCCCGTTTGAGCTACATTATTTTTTTCATTTTCATTCTTCTACTCATTTTTAACCACACATTCTTCGATAAAATTATATTCTCCATCACATCAATAATGTTTCCTTCATTTTTAACCACATATTCTCCATCACATCAACAGTAAAAATGCATTCTTTTCAAAAATGTGCATCAAAAGGGGGCTAACTGAATGTCTAGTTACACAATCCAACAAGCCACAAGTGTTCTCATTTTAGTTCGAGCAAATTTTATAAAAAAGACCTTTCCTCCAAACCCTCCCCCCACAGAGATTGAGATAAAGAGAGAGTTCGGAATGGAGGAAATATTAGTACCTCATTGCACGGTAAAGAGGACGGTACCACAGCAAATAGGCCCCTGGAACACCAGTTATAAAGTAGATAATAGCAAGAAACCAGATTGTTGGACCTGAAATAGAAAGAAAAGTTAAAATAATATTGACAGTGGTTATTGATCTTTGAAGCCTTGAAAAGGCTGCAAAATGTACATCAACACCCACCTTCCCCTTTGATCCAAGCTAAACTAACTGCTACAATATTCCATAGAAGACAAACTACCAAACCTGCAAATCAGAAGTTCCAGAATATGAACCCAATGTGAGCTGAACCAACTCATTATCAGTCTAATACAAATTACATGCAGGAATATCTGAAGAACATATACTTTGTTAGTCATACATATCACTATTTATTAGTTATTAGATTCTTTTTTTTTTTTTTTTTTTTTTAACTTTATGCATGCTAAAGACATCTATATGCTCCAAATTCTCAAATTCCAAGGCTATTCTCTCCCATTGATCTACAAACAGTAGCCAAACTTTGTTTGTACAAGTCCATATGTAATATTACATTTAAGTTCTCCGAGTAACCTAAAATATGGTTAAAGGCCTGCCCCTGAAAAGACAAAACCAGCAGCAGAAAGGGAAATAAGCGTACCTTAGCAGCGCTCGTGTGTTTTCATAGTAAAAGCTTAGTCTGAAAATTTTAAATTGTGCTATTCTATTCACATTAGTAAAGATAACGAACAACACAGGCTTTAGGTGTAAAACAGGTCAGGCTAGATCATGCCACCGTGGCAAACACCCACATGGTCTGCAATTTCTGGTAGACTAGGACAGGTAATGCTGTCCAAGAAAAATGTGGTCAACAGATTTATTTATTTCTTTCTAGTTAATTTTCTGAAAATAAGCTGAGAAACACAGAAAAAAAGGCACGCGTCAAGTGGCCTGTGGCCCTGGAGAGTGAAGACGGGTGCAGCTCATTTCTTGTGTCCAGATTACCCTTACATCTCAAATGCAGGCACACAATACAAAGTCCAAAATCACTAGAATAGAAGCACGGCTAAACGGTAGCAAGTACCTTCAGCAGTCATTTGTAGATGACTACTATGTATAACTGACTAATATTAAGAAAGGCCGATTAAGAAGCACCATTTCAATTTGAAGCCCAACATAAATAGGGAAAGACATTCACATGATCTTTAACACTTGAAAGGAACAGTGTTGTTTGCCCCACCACACACAACACAGCACAAATGCATGATTGTTGGTCACTAACATTCCTCCAGCAGAAAGTAAAACAAAGATTACAAGATCATTGAAGTTCAAATCACAAATACAAGAGGAAGATTCAGTAAAATAATTAACCCCGCATGACTTGATAAAAATGACTTACCCAACAATGTTGTGAATGCAACATACTGCAGCTTCTGTAGATGAATTGGAATTTCATTTGCAATGTCATGATGAATAATAGGGATATATGGTGGCCAGTTTTTTTCCTCGATAACAACTCCAGCTGCCCAAGAACATAAAAGATCAATAATGTGAGTCTGTGATGCGTACAAGATCGTAGCAAAGTTCTACCATAAAAGTCAGATCTACATAAAATGTACAAGGGCGTATGAGAAAGCAAATTACATCTGGCAATAGCATCTTCCCTCCTTTTCAGTTCCTACAAAACACCAGAAAACTGATTACTGATTAACATGCGAATAAAAAGGTTGAAAACATGAGAACAATATTTGTAACATTCATCAAAAAATTAAATCAAAGTTCTGACCTTTTGAGGCCATCCACAAAAAAAGGAAAAAAGAAGATTATGAGCAAACACAATATTGAACACCGAGTTGGCATAACAAAAAGTTGAAGTAGAACACATGGTATAATCAAAATAACTTTATATCTTATTTTGACAACGAGAAGGCTACAGACTTACCTGTTCCCTTTTTTTTAGTTCAGCCTCCTTAGCTTGGAGTTCCTTCTCCTTCTTTTTCAGATCCTGCATTTGCACATAACTACCATTCTGGAATCTGCTTATACAACAGATATAGGCAACCTACTGTCTATTAACAAGCATATATAGTCAATGGTATACCTTTGAACTTTCATGAGGTATATCAACAGTTGTAGAACGATCATAGCCGGCAGGTTCAGGAGGAAGAGGTGAGAGCCCTGAGTTTGCAGCAGGACGGACACTTCCAGGATTCTAAAAAAACTCGGCAGGAAGAAAATGCACACAAACACGAGCAAAGTGAATAAAAATTATACCCAGATAGTTAGTGAAAATATGCAAGAACAAAGTGCTAAAAAAGTTCAAGATCGTGCCTCAAATTATGAGAGAGATGGAGAAAAATATCACACACTAGAGTAGGTTGTAAGGAATATATTTAAGAGAACTGATATAGAGTAAAAGGTGTTAGGCTGTGATTGTTTTGAAAGCAAAAGAATTAGACAAGAGAGGACGAAAGAATCTCAAACTTTTATATACGTCGGACAACAATTGTCATTCACAAAAAAGACGTTTTTGGAATCAACAACAAATTTTAATTGAGATTTTGCCTGAGATGAAAAATGAGCAAGCAATAACAGCCCGCCGACCCCTCAAAAAAATGACAACTTCTCTCAGTTAGTCACTTTAAAACTTCAATTCCCCCATTAAAGATATATGAAACTATTATTTCCACATATATTCCTTTTCTTTTCCTTCCAATTTTCTAAGCATAGCACAAAATACTAACAAAATGTGGCATTATCACCTATATAGAAATTACAAGGCACGCCTTCCAAATTCCCTTTCATCTAAATGCAATTATCTTTACAATGTTGATATTTGAGCCCACGTAAGGATGTTATCATAACAAGTCCATTGCACAATTCACTATTCCCCAGTAAAACCCTCAAATTCTCCAGAAAAAAATTGGGGAAAGAGAGAGATTATCCCTCAACCATATCTAACCTCTTTTATTGCATAACTTTGAGAACATAAAAAAAATAAAACATGACAAACACATAGAGATGCATATCCAGCTCATTATGGTTGATGCAAATCAATTTAGAGGAAATATCAAGTTCTGCGGTATAGATACGCAAATTTTCCTATGTCTCAGATATACAAATCCATCTACATTCACCAATTAGCAATCTAGTAATTGCACAAAAACAGCTATGGTGAAGAGAAAAATGATGTACCGGAAAATTACAATAAAAGTTCCGATGGAAACATATTCAAGTAAACAGATCTGACATTCCGAACACCAAACATCAACAATCCAACCCCACATTGTATTATCACAGTCACATTGTTTTGAAGGATATGATAACACAAAACATTCCATCTCAATTATATCAAATACATTAACATGCAAAAATGAAAATTTACCGCAAATGGGTTAACTTCTTCTTCGCCAAATGGATTGGAATCGTAACTGCCAGCCATTGCAAGAAAATCTTATATAGAGAAACACAATTCAAACTTTAAATTTTAACAAAATGAAAAGGAAAAAAGAAAAAGAAAAACGCAGATCTGAAGAATATTGAAAATGGGGAAATTAAAGTAAGGATAATTGGGTAAACGTGCTACGTAGAGAAAATTTACGGCCCTGTATAAATCGGAAAATTGTTATTTTAGGTAATATTTTTGTTTTCTATTTATGCTTTTTTCCCTTTCCTTTTAAAGGGAAAGTGACAGTTAATTTTTCCCAGGAAAAACGTAAAAAAAACAAAAGAAAGCATTGGCGGGAGAGAGTTCATGTAAGTAGGGACCATGCGGGAACATTTTGGTTTTAAAAAAAAAAAAATTAAAATTTTGAGGTGGTCCTGCTGCACCAACGATGTAGAAAATTGTTAATACTCATATTTTATATTATCATAGGAAATACAAAATGTCTCGTCCTAAATGTTTTTCGAATGATTAAGGTCTCTTTGAGAGTTTTACAGGGTGTAGGCTGATTTGTCTTATGTAATTCACAAATTTGTTACTATCATTGCAAAATGCTAAAGTTAGTTCTCGCTTGTATAATTTCCCCATTCCAAAGAAAGCTTTTATCCTAGGTCATTTCATCAAGATATAATTGCAGTCTTTGAACTGGTGCACTTGTGGAAACGGTGGAAAAATGGTAACTTGGGTTATCTGGCAATGAAAATGTATATAGTATATGACAGAGTAGACTAATCGTTCATTCAGATATTTGTGGAAAATAAGGGCATCTTGAAGCATTAGAGACATCTAATTCATGAATGTATGTCCATGGTCATTCTACCTTTCTTATTAAATGGCACGCCACACAACCCAATCACTCCCTCGAGGGGATTGAGGCAGGATTTCTCTTGTTCTCTCCATATCTATTTAATTTACGAGTTGAACGCTTTTTATAATTCTACTACAGAAATAAACTAGTTTGAAAATTAGATGCTTTTGCTTCACTCGACACGTAGCTAATTTTTCTTTCGGTGACAATGTGTAGTTTTTGATTTCTTTGGTCTAGAACGAATTCAATTGCATAGTAAGTACTTAGAATTGCCTTGGGTTATTGGACGAAGTAAGAAAATAATATTTTAGGATGTTAATGAAACAATGTGGCATAAATTATAGCTATGGTGATGGAGAAATTAGGGGGAAAGCGATCCTCATAAAAGCGGTGGCACAAGTGATCCCTAACAATACAATGGGGGTTTCAATTACCGAATGTGCAAATCGAAGAACTGAAGGGTTATTTATTTTAGAGAGTTGGCAGTATTTAATCAAGCACTGGCTTAAAAATATTTCCAATGTCCCTACGTGGCATTTTGATCATATGAACATTTATTCCTTTTAAGAGTGAATATCCCTTCGTGAGGAATTCCAAATGTTCGCACCTTCAAGTCTGTACAAACCCATTATCTAGGTGGTGGATTTTCTGCAAGGCCTGAACATAGGCAGTCTCCCAAAGAATCAGGTTCTGCAGCGGCGCCATATCTCTATTTCTAGTCTTTGTCACAGGTATGCACAAGATTATGAGTATATTCTACATTGTTTGGTGCTGTGATCAGTGATTGAGGAGGCGACTATTTCAATATTTTGGAAAAGCTAATCATGTAAACCTTTTGTTCTCGTGATTAATAATCAAAATGGGGCTTCACTTAATTAGAATGGAACTGAACCCAATCGGTGGTTTAGCTCAACCCCGGTTCGATCCAATTTAGTTTGACATAAAATGCCCACTATTACTCTTCACAATGTCTTGAATCTTGATTTATGAATATTAACAGAAAATAGTGAACCAAACAATCAGAAGAAGAAAAGTAGGGTTAAATTAATAACAATGAAGCTAATCACGCGCGGAGGTTGAAGCACTTTTCGGAACAAAACAATCTCTTTCTCATCAACATTTGTACCTTCTACTCCATCCCAATATCAACAATTTGAATCAATTTCAGCCACTAAACGAAAGAGATCAATGTAAATGTTCATGAAGTTATAGAGATATTGACAATCTTTTCTGCACTGTGAAAATGGGTTCCTACAAAAGCTCTAAATCTCAGTCAAAAATGGAGAACCAGCACCTAGAATCTGAATCAAAGGGTGGAGGAGCGAGAGCGCCTCCATTTCCGGTGGAAGAAGAATTTATTAACGAAGTGCTCTCAAAAACACCTTTTGTAAAGGGGTCTAATCAGAGAGTGGAGACAAAGAATAAGAGAATGCAAAAATCAAAGACTGAATCAAAGGGATGTGATTCAATCAAAGTACACTGATGAAATTGTTTCAGAGGCATCTGTAATTTCAGATTTGGGTAGTTTTACTAAGAGTTTTTCTACGATGGGGACAGAGTATATAGACGACGATGACAGAGAAGTGAACCAGAGGGTTCCGGCTAGAGTTCTAAGAAGAAGGCAAAACGCCGGCGAAAGTCTCAGCGGGAGAATTAGGAGGGACAATATTAGATTCAAAAAATTGAAATATGAAGAACTGAATTATATTCCAATTCATTAATGAAAACGTCTGTACATCAACTATATAAGTAGCATAGAAGAATGAATCTAGTCAGGCCAATGTACATCAACTAACTAACTAACTAAATAGCATAGAATACCGAATCTAGTTAGGCCAGCTGTACATCAACTCATCTGCAAATCGTTTAACAAGTGATTGATCCATAAAATTTCACTTATGGTGCCAACAACAACTCGAGATTCTGCTTTAGCTGATGATTTGAACACGGTTGCCTGTCTTTTAGATTTCCAAGTGATCATAGAATCCCCAATAAAGATGCAAAAACCTGTTGTGGATTTCTTTGTATCAACACAGGAGCCCCAATCAGCATCCGAGAAAACTTGCAACTTGAGGGATAAACCAGGAGTTGTATTAGATGTTGAGAAAAATATGCTTTGACCAGGGCTGTTCTTCAAATGATAGAGCAAATGGTGTACTGCTTTGAGATGTAGCAACCTAGGTTGAGATAGAAATTGGCTCAGTTAGTGGACGGCATATGTGATGCCAAAGAGGGACAAAGTCAATAGATTAATCGTCCGATTAATCTTTTTTACTAGGAAGCATTTGATAAGAGGTCGCCTTCATGCACATTGAGATGTGTCTTTGGATCCAGATGGGCATTGATTGGTTTGCAATTTAAGTAGAATGTATCTTCAAGTAATTGCAAAGTGTAATGCCTTCGTGAAATCACAATACCAAAGGTTGAACGGGCTATTTCAATTCCCAGAAAGTATTTCAAACATCCCAAATCCTTTAGCTTGAATTGAGAATGTAAGAAACCTTTTAACGAGTCTATAGCTTGAATATTAGGACTTGTGATGACTATGACATCCACATCCACTAATAAAGCCACAAACTGATCTCCTTGCCCTTTGGTGAATAAAGGAGAGTCAGTTTTTGAATGAATAAATCCTAAATGAATCAATGCTTGAGAAAATTTTGAATTCCATTGATGTGATCCTTGTTTGAGTCCATATATGGACTTGTGTAGTTTGCACACCAATCTCTCCTCTTGTTTGGCATTGTTGGGAACCTCCTGACCAAAGGACAAATCCATGTACACTTCCTCAAATAAGTTTCCATTCAAAAAGGCATTGTTAACATCCAATTGCACCAAGTGCCTTTTCTATAGGCTGCAAGTGGTAGTAGTAATTTGACAATGACTATCTTTGCCACCAGGGAAAGGTATCAAAATAATCAAGTCCTTACTGTTGAGTGTAACCCTTCACAACCAAACTGGTTTTATGTCTAGCAATGGTTACATCTGACTGATACTTGATCTTATATATCCATCGACATCCCACTGAATGTTTACCAGTTGGCAAAGCAACCACAAACCATGTATTATTTTGCTCCATAGCTTCCAATTCCAACTTCAAAGCTCACACCATTGTGGATCCTTCACAGCCTAATGAAAGAACTGTCGTTCATGGTGAAATGAGATACTTATAACTAAATGTCTGTAATTAGTAGTTAATTTTCCATATGACACGAATTGACCAATGTGATAAGGGAATTAGGGAAATGGCTAGGAATTTTGAAACATCAAATTGCAACGAAAATCCTTGAGATAAGTAGGAGGTCTGATGCCCTCTGCGATTTTTGAACAACGGTAGGATGAACATTCAACTGCTAATTATTAGAGTGATCAACTGCATTTCAATAGTCTGAATAGTGGAAGATGGTGACTATGCCTGAGGTGAAAGAAAAGGCTCCATTGATGGTATAGAATCTACATGTTGTCTATAACAATTTTCTTGATAAAAGGATAGTGAAGGCAGCAGCAGTACTAAATCTAGGAAAGGGATTAACTAGAAGATTAGCCTCTACCACTACATGGAATAGAATATGTCTTCATGAAAAACCACATCTCGTGGTAAGAAGACATGTTTAGAAGTCACATCATACAAGAGGAATATTCCAAAAAAAACTCACAATCGAGCTCTTGGCTAAAACTTGTTTATGTGAATAGTCAAGGTTGAACAAAAAGTCGAGCAACCAAATACCATGAATGAAGAGTAATCTGCAACCTTCTTATATAGGATCTCATATGGTGTTTTGTGATTCAAAGTGGAGATGATGTTCTATTGATAAAAAAACGTGGCTGTCAATACACAATCAGACTAGAATTCTATAGGAACTCTTGATTGAAAATATAGAGCCCTTGCCGCATTTAAGAGGTGTTGATGCTTGTGTTCTACAATAGAATTTTGTTGTGGTCTTTCTACACAACTAAATTGATGTAAAACCTCTTTTATAGTAAAAAAAAAAAAAAGTCAGTGAATGCCAACTCAGGGGCATTATCTGATCTGAAGACTTTTATTTTGGCATTGAATTGAGTTACCATCATTTGAAAGAATATGGGAATAACATTTGTAGCATCTGATTTTTGTTTCAATATGAATAACCATGTCAATATTGAATAATAATCTACTAATGTCAAGAAGAAGTTATGTCGAGTGTATGATGGAACTTGATAAGGACCCCAAATATCACAATGCACAAGATCAAATGAATTTCTTGAAAAATGATTATTTGATTCAAACGATAACCTTCTTTATTTAGCAAGAGGGCAGATATAACAAGGAGTGTTTTTATTGAATCTGGATACATCATATGAAAGTTGAGTTTTTCAAACATTCTAACTTTTTAAATGAGAGATGCCAAGTCTATTGTGCCAAACTTGAACAGAAACATCGTTCATAAAAGTATTAGAAACAAAATCTACTTTGGAAACTGATTTTAGGACCTGGGTATCAAGGACATACATGTGCTGCAACCTATCACCCTTGCTAGTCATCCTCTTGGTTTTGGCTTCCTAGATGATAAAATGATCACGAAAGAAACTGATGGTGAGATGTGATTCAAGTGTTAGATCACTAACAGATAACGGTAAAATTTGAATTGTGGCACAAATAAAACATCATGAAAAATAAAACTTGGGCTTAATTTGATTTCACCACACAATCTAACAGTTATTTGTGTGTTAATTGGTAGAGTATCAATAGAATTATCTAGAATTCTCATTTACATAAAAGCATAGGCAATGGAACACACATGTCTTGTTGCACCTAAATCCACTATCTAATGTCCTTGGATGAAAAGATGGGATTTACTGATATGGAGTAGCATATACCTGCAGCATATGAGATGATGTTGTTGTCTTGATGATCAGAGGTTGCTGTATTGGAACTTGAAGCTAAATGAGAAGACGGCATGGACATCAGTTGTTCGTATTGATTAAATTGAGGTTTTGCACAAAATTTTCAAATCCTGATTGTTGATCATGTTTTCTATTTCAAGTTGAGGGACTAATGCAGTGGTTGAAATCTAATTGACTGAATTGGTGCCTTAACGATTTTGGAAATTATCTTTTGATCAAGGCTTATATCCCAATGGATAACCATATATTTTGTAGCATTTGTTATTGGAATGACCATGGAAATTGCAATGAGTACAATAAAGTCTGTACTTATTCTTACCACATCCAATATTTCCAATCCTTGAAGTATTATTGTACGATGCAGCAGGGTGAATTCTTCAATTGGCCTTATCAGCCTTGAAAGCAAAAGCTGCAGCTCCATTTGGATCAATTCCTCCAGATGTTACTTGAGTGTCAATCTTCCTCTGATTTTCTTCTTAAGAAATCAATGCAAACACTTTGTTATCGGAGACAAAGTATCCATAAGTAGTATGTGTCCTCTAATTTGCAAAAAGGAGTCATGTAACCCCATTAGAAATGACATAATTTACTCCATCTGATAATGATTAATGTTCAATTCCTTTACACCACCAAGGGTACATTTTCCATAATTGCAAGTGCGACGATAATTGCTCAATTCTTCCCAAATAGTTTTGAGTTCAGTGAAGTTAACACTTACATTATTCTGATCTTGAACCAGATTCATCAAATCCCTCCTCAATTGGAAGATGCGTGGTCCATTTTTCTGCTGGAACCTATCTTTAAGATGTATCCAAATTCATATGCTGTCACAGCATTTATCATCCTAGCAGAAATCCTCTTTGAAATTGAGTCCAGAATACAGGAAATAACAATATTGTTGTTTCGAATCCATGAGTTGAGCAGATCAGATTTTTCACCTTCAAGTTCTGTTATGGATCCATCAACGAATCCAAGTTTATTCTTTACTGATAGTGCGATTGTCATTTTACGGCTCTACGAGGCATAGTTATCTCGCGTGAGCTACTACGATACCAAGATCAACCTTGGACTATTGCAATAATGCATGATATAAGGACTTGAAGGATCATCAACGACCAACTTGGTTATTGATGTCCTCAAATTTTTAGATTGTTGTGATTCCATTTGAAGTTAGAGACAAGAATCAACAATTGAATGAATGAAGAATAAGGATGCGGAAATATCTATTGCTCTGATACTATATTAGATTCAGAAAATTGAAATATGAAGAACTGAATTATATTCCAATCATTAAGAAAACATCTGTACATCAGATGTGTGTGTGTGTGTATATATATA